CTAGATATGGGGTAGTCTGGTATATGTAGGGGCGTGACAACGTGACGGAACAATATTGTGTGTGTAGGTAGTGAGTAATTGAACTGCAGTCAGAGAGAGACGTATTGTTGAAGTTCGTTGTTATAGCGTTTGTTATACAGCGACTGTTGAAAATAAGTGTATCGGTAAAGTTATATTCGGAAAGAATAAACCAGTTTTATTAAGAAAGGACTTGTGTCGCTACAGTTTCGTTGGAACGAAGTTACGGAAAGTTAATTAACAAACGGAGATGTAACAATACTAATAGATAACATTCACCTCATCTCTACGTATGTGGCTAACTTTATACCGAAAAAGTTGTTAGTAGGAGAAAGGCAGAGTAAGAATGTATCTGATTTCAACAGGGAGTCAATAAAAACAGATTTTGCTCACAATGTCAATTTAGAAAGGTCTGCCATGCGTTCCTGATTCCCAATAAGCGGCCAGTGGACCATGACTGGCCCAAGAAACACCGATTTTTGGCCCGTTTGAAAACTATTTACAACATAGATTTTCCGTGCACTTAACATGGATTAAATTACTTGAGATCAACGTCATATGCCGTATACCTTGGAAAAGCCTTAAGACAGAGAGAAACTTTCAACTGGCAATGTTAGATCTTGAACAAAGCTAGGTAAATGAAACATAGTTTACAATAAAGGTAGTATAATCATAGGAAGTCTTCCACCTACATACATTTTTCTTCTGTTGTCTTTTACTATAAATGATATTGGTTCACAATACTTAAGTTTGCAATGGTACATCCAAAATATTTTATTATTGTGTTGTTCTTTCTGATTCTAGTAACCTCTGGTCATATTGACTACAATGCAGTTTACAGGTTTGCGATCAGAATACAGGTACATCTTAATGGATAACAGTCTTCTTCAAATTAATACATGAATCACACAGAGGCCTACATAGGACATAAATTAAAAACAAATTTGTGTACCCAATAAAACTATTATACGTTTGTTCATCAAAACTTATTTATTACGGATATATCCTATGCAGTAGAGGTCAAATAGAGGTGAGATCTAAGAAACATTAGGGTTTATTAAGGGAGGTCGTGGGCCGTCCCTTCTCTTATTTTGAACCGTGGAACACGAACAGTTCGCCCAATGTAAAGGTACTCCTACTACTAGCGGTATGAAACGTCATATTCGTTTGGCGTCGGCTTCGTATTTTTTTGCTACCGACCTCCTCACATGGTTGAACTCTCATTCGTATAAAACTGAAATAGCTGACAAGTGCTTATCCATTTAATTTCTTCTGTTTTTGAATATTCATACAAAGCTACAGAAGAGCTATCTGCAATACAGCCGTGCCTAATTTTGAAGTGACAAACTCGCTGTAAACTCTTTAGCTACTCTTGTCTATCCAAATAGTAGAATTTCACCATCACCTTTATAACATACTCACTTCCCCAAAGTGCGAATCGGAATTTTTTGTGGTAAAGGGATGCGAATTTTGAGCCCGCAGATCGATGGGCTGGTATATTCAGCCTGGTTATTCATTTACGTTCAATATCTGGGATGTCCACCTGAGTTCCTCTACTAAATTCCATTGAAATTGGTTTTGTCAAATTGGTTTAGTTAAGACAATTCTACTTTATATAAATAGATAATTCAGGGTGGTATTCCCTCAAATTAGTCTATCTCTCGCTAAAAAATGAAGAAGACAGTATTGATATGCAATATCAAATAACTATGTTGAAGAGTAAATGTTACCACTGATCCAGATTGCTCTTTGAAACCCTATTATATATATATATATATATATTAAAAACATTTTCTTATTTTGTACAAAACTACTACTATACAAAAAAGAAAAATTATGTATCACTAAAACATCATCAAATTAAAGTATCTGGTGAGTAGGAATTCTTTTGTATTTAATATATTTATCCCAAATAGAATCTTATGCGTCACATGAACTAAATGGCCAGTCAGAGATCCTTAAAGTACAGGCATGGCCATTCCTTATTTAAAACTGAAACCACATAGGAGAAATCAGTTAGCAGCACCCACACCTATGTTGCTTTAGTCCCGACTAAAGGGACTGACTTTCATGGTTACACACTTTCCCGACAGCTGAAAATGCAAAGCATTTTTAGCTAGTGGCATAATATGTCTCAAACTTTGGAGCGGCAACCTAGCACAGATTTGATCTGACAAGGCAAGTCCTTGAAGATGGATGCACAAGTAACAGATCATCCAAGTACCAAAAAAAGCAAGACAAGAGACAAACTACACACTCTGCTTACTATGCCAAAAGGCTGTTATTGACATACCATTAGTGACTAATCCCTGTGTGAACTCATATTCAAAATTGTTAACCTTCATCCATAAATACGGAGAGTATGGGATGGTGATTTTCCTGAAGTCAGTCGTAGACTCCACAGTGTGAAAGAAGCAGACCTGGAATCCAAAAAAACAAGGTGGCATCGAAACTGTTACAGTGCCGCCTGTCACACTAGGAACCGTGGTAAGTTACGTTATGAGAAAGCATGCCAGCTGCAGGATAAATATCAACTGCAGAAGAAAAAAGTGTGCCTTTCCATGAAACGGAATCTCCAAGGCCATTCAGCATCCACCTCTCACCAAGCAGATAACCTGCACTTCACACAATCTGCTGAAGCTACATTCAATGCCAATTTATGTTTTTTCTGCCAGTGCAAATATTCCAGTACATGAAAGTTTCTATATCCAATGCAGGGCAAAGCTACGTAAGGCTGTCGAACAGAGTAGCAATGAGACTTGGAAAGTTCAACTTAGTGCAGCCATCAATATGAATGGTGCTCGTGCAATTGATGTCAAGTACCACTTGACATGTTGGGTGAAGCATGTACAACGAGCTCAAATCAAAGACACCAAGAA